TAATATGTAAAATATTAACTTGATCTGTTCTGGAAGACTATTTAGATTGAATATAAAACATTTTACTTTGAGCTATAACAAAATGATCCAAAGTGAACTTGTGCTTAGATCACAATAATTTGTATGACCAACAAAGTTCTGCGTTTTTCGTCTCTGCTTCGCTGCTTTTTCTCGCAGCAGAAATAGGCGATACACTGACGCACTTACTTATTAATGACTTCAGACCAGTCTACAATAAATCAATGGCACGATCTACCTTATAATGCCTACTGTATTTTGTTATGATTATGATTGTTATTATTTATTATTATTTTTCTTTTTTGCATTTTGTTATTATTATGGTATAAAATCTACGTGTAACCTGCTTACATTTGGCGTAATACATGTATACAATTTTTAATCAAATTAGTGATTTGGCAGGTAGTCTTGCATTGAGCAAAATATATGAATAAAGCTATACAGGATCGGAATTCAAAACGATGAGTCAAACCGGCTTGGTCTAATAGTAAAGGTTGGACGTATATGGAGATTTGAGCCAAACTGTCAATAATTGACTACAAATTTAAGTGAAGACTATCCTAATTTATTTGGCGTAGAACAATGTCGTCTTCAATTGGTGCTAAAAGGTATTTAAGGCATATTTTCATGAATAACGCAAAAATGACTCTTTTCAAATTGTCCTGTGCATCCTAACTGCGAAGAAAAAAATCGGTTCGAAAGGGTACATGCTTGGGATATGTCATCTGTATTAACGGACACGAGCCGATTACAAAAGTGTGGGATACCACAGATATCCCACACAATAAATGAGTAAATAATATATTGCTAATAAGCAAAAATGGCAACAAGCTGCGCCACCACCACCACGCTATATGTTCTACTCTTAGAAAAGTTAAGCAGTCTTTTAATGACTGCCTTGAATTTTAAACTAGGTCATTCAAAGCCATTAATTAGATGGCGCTTTCAATAAGCACAGTAAGAACTAGCGGTAGAATTTTGCAACCCGAACCACAAAGCGCGAATCTAAATCTCGGATGGCTTATGATTTGCCTCATTTTTAATTGAATACCATGCAGTTAAGTTTTAAACCAGCACAGAGTTCAGTAAAGGCAAAATCGACACGTGCTTGTCTCAAAAATTCAGTAAA